AACTGACGCGAGCCCAGGAGTAAAGTTGTCCTCCGGTTTTTTCATAGGGGCTTTCCCAAGCAAGACATAATTCTTTGGGACCAAACATGTGATAAGGGCTTCCTTCCAGAATCATGGAGCTTGGACCATTGATTCCCTCAGCCAAGCATATGTTATTTCCTGTGCTGTAGGGCCATTTCCTGTTGATTTTCCTGTAGCCAAACGAATATGGTCACCCCCCCACTTTTGCTGGGAGGACTTTGTGGCAGCAGATGTTTGGGTTGTGGTGTGTTTTGTGCGCGAGTGCTTTTGTTTGGTCATTTCCCTTTTGTCCCTTTTGTGCTGGTGTTTGTTGGTTTTTGTTTTTCTGAATCGCTTCTGGCCCGAGAAAGAAAAAAACAAAACCGACCCTGGCACGCGAGGCACATGTTCTGTGGTAATTAACTGGGTCAATGTAAAGCTTAGGGGCGAGAAGCTAATCCAAGACTATCAGAGCCATTGTTCCTCACTGGGTGGGGCGTCTCGCCGACCGACAACTTGACATCATGGGAACTGGGCTTGGCAAAGGTAAGAATGGAAAGTCTAGGCCCGATTTGGGCGAGAAGCCTAGATGTTGCCTTGCAAGGCTGTAAGTTTGTTTTAGGGCTTCGCAACTTGTGGCAAGAAGCTCCAGTGCTTCCAGACAACACTTCTGGATTTTCCTCACTGGTTTCTTTGGATGTTTTGGATTTCAAGGCTCTTGAAGGAATCTTCAGATTTCTCTTTCCAACAAAACCGCTCTTGCAGCTGCAGCCTCGGCTCCTTGCGGGTAATATATGGCCATGGGTCAAAACATCCCCTACCCCCAGTGAACATCCCAATCCCCACTAAAATAGACCAAAATGGATGGTGCACCTACTCCTCTATTGGTTTTGACCCACAGCCATATACCAACATTGGGCCGATCCGGGTTGGTTAAAGTTGGGTAACAAATCTGTGCATGGAGTGTCTGTGTTCCTGACAACATGTCAACGCACTGCAGGCCCCCTCTGCAAGTAAATGAGATTGTTGCTTCTGAGATTGTTGCTTCCTTGATGTTCAGCACACAAGATGCTAGAGGGGAGTTCCTGTTTTGTTCCAAGATCAAGTACGTTGTCATCATTAGCAAACATAGTTCCTTTGATCGCCCAGTTGCTTATGACGTGCCTCATGGGATAGCGAACCACTTAGCCTGCCTGTGCGAGATTTGCTATGCAAGTGCAAGTGTGCTTGCCGAGTGGGAAGAGCTGCTCCGTGTCCCTGCCTCCGGAGTCGAGCATCCATGAATTGAAGCTTCAGGCACAACAGCAGTTCCAGCGCCGCTTCCTGAGGCTTGCCTTCAAAGGGCAGCAGCTAGATCCAACGTCTACGTTGAATAAGGTGGGTGTGCGAGATGGAGATCACATTGATGCCATCGTGCAGCCCGCGAGGCTAGCTTCCACCAAAGAAGCTTTTGCACTCTATGTTCCAGGAGGTGCGGCCGTTACATGGGGCAGTCCAGATCATGGCGGTGACAGCCGCCGCGTGCGAGAGCAGTTGGTGCAAGTCCAGCAGATCCACGCAACTGGCTATGCTTTTGCTGCCATCCTCGCCGACGGCTCTGTGGTGACTTGGGGCAATCCTCTCTGCGGCGGTGACAACAGCCAGGTTCTAGAGCAGTTGGTTGGAGTTCAGCAGATCCAAGCAACTGATTTTGCTTTTGCTGCCATTCTGGCCAGCGGCTCTGTGGTGACTTGGGGCCACCCTTATGAAGGCGGCGACAGCAGCCAGGTGCAGGAGCAGTTGGTGCAAATCCGGCAGATCCAAGCCAATGGTGATGCTTGTGCTGCCATCCTCGTCGACGGTTCTGTGGTGACTTGGGGCCATCCTGAGTGCGGTGGTGACAACAGCCAGGTTCGAGAGCAGTTGGTGCGAGTTCAGAAGATCCAAGCAACTGGCCGTGCTTTTGCTGCCATCCTGGACGACGGCTCTGTGGTGACTTGGGGCGATCCTGATTGCGGCGGTGACAGCAGCCAGGTGCGAGAGCAGTTGATACGAGTTCAGCAGATCCAAGCAACTGGACGTGCTTTTGCTGCCATCCTGGCCAGCGGCTCTGTGGTGACTTGGGGCAATCCTGATTATGGCGGTGACAGCAGCCAGGTGCGAGAGCAGTTGGTGCAAGTCCAGCAGATCCAAGCAAATGAACGTGCTTTTTCCGCCATTCTGGCCGACGGCTCTGTGATGACTTGGGGCGATCCTGATTGCGGCGGTGACAGCAGCCAGGTGCGAGAGCAGTTGATACGAGTTCAGCAGATCCAAGCAACTGGACGTGCTTTTGCTGCCATCCTGGCCAGCGGCTCTGTGGTGACTTGGGGCAATCCTGATTATGGCGGTGACTGCAACCAGGTGCGGGAGCAGTTGGTGCAAATCCAGCAGATCCAAGCCAATGGTGATGCTTTTGCTGCCATCCTCGTCGACGGTTCTGTGGTGACTTGGGGCGATCCTGACTGCGGCGGTGACAACAGCCAGGTTCGGCATCAGTTGGTGCGAGTCCAGCAGATCCAAGCAACTCACAATGCTTTTGCTGCCATCCTGGCTGACGACTCTGTGGTGACTTGGGGGGATCCCGACTTCGGCGATGAGATTAGCCAAGCTGATCTGGATGGGCTGTGATGCTTCGCTCTTTCTGTCTGTGACAGGGTGTTGCTTTTCAACAGCTGCGAAGCCGCATGCCGCCTAGTTATAGCAGCATGGCATAGGTGAGTTTGTGCGGGATTAGACAACTTAAGAAAAAGAAAGGTCCTTGTGCTCACCAACATTCACCAACCCCAACCCCCAGCCCCCAAACCCATAAACCTCCAAACCCGACCCAACAAAAACCCAACCCCCTCACCCATAGAATCCCTACTCATCGCCAGATGGCCTGGATCTGAAGCCATCCACCTGCGCTGGACTCGGAGCTGGGCTCCGATGGCTGGTTTCTATGCTTGTTGCCAGTGTTTTGGTTCCCAGCTCCGGTCCCTTAGCTTCTTGGATATGTTTCGTCAGCTTGGTGGTTCGAAGTTGCCGAAACCGGATTCAACCCACCACAGTTCGTTCACTTTGAGCAGGGCCATTGAGGACAGCCCAGCGTTGGTGCCTTTGTCTTCTTAGTTAAGCTTTGGCAAGGGAAGACCGTGTGGCCAAGATTGGTACAGTGAAGCAGCAGTTGTTGGCCAAGTTGTTTGGCAGAATGAAACTCCAAGAGTGTCAGACATCCGATCGCATCCGATCGATCCCAGGCCATTATCACAGCTACCTTCAGATGTTCAAACGGACGGAGGACGAGGGCAGCGGTTGTGCCGATGTTGTGTGACCTCCAGAATCGGTGCTTGTTTTGCATGTAGTCTTGGTGGGACCCAGTCAGCCGAAAATGGAGGGAGGGTTGTGCTTTCTTCTGGAAATGCACTGGAGGCATGGGCTTTTTGCTCACAGAAAGCCAGTTGAAACATGAAATTCAATCGGGTTTCCCTTGAGGGTCTGTTGCTTGTCGTTGGGTCAATCCTGCTGCTGCGGGCGGCCCACTTGGGTCGCCCGAGGGTTCTGTCAATGTGAACAGCTCGTTTTGCATCCCATTTGCGGGGTGGGAAACATGGGGGTTGTCTCAAAACTGGTCTCAAACTAGGGGGACCAAACCCTAAAATGCCATTCGCCAGTTTTCGAATTTCTTCCCTTACAACCCAAGAAAGGGTACCCTCAAAATGGATTCTTCAAAAACGGCCTACGCACATGTTGGCCAAATTGAACATGAAAAAAACAACTTCATAGTGGTTTTGATTGTTAAAGTTACGGGGTTGTGCTCCGCTAAAGAGTAAATTGTCATCCACCATGGACCATGGCTCACTCACACGGTTGGGCCAGACCCTGCTCCAATTTCAGGGGAACCAAGAGAGATAGTTGAAGCACAGTTGTTTTTTTTACACGAGGTTCCTCAAGCACTCCATGTTTGGCTTTACCGAAAGCATTCATATCATTTGCCCTCAAAATAATTCACATATTGATTAATATATATATATGTATATTACCTACAACTGTGTTGGGTTTGGTCTGGTGCCCAGATGCTCATGAAGGTCTACGGGTTTGAAGATCCGAACAAAAACTAAATCCTTCCAGAAACAAATGTGAAACCTAGTGCCCCTGACAGAAAGTGGTTCCTGGTTGCTCTTTCAGGTCCCATTCGGCTTGGAACTCGAAAAGCCCCGTCTAAACTCCCAGCTGACCCGTTAGATGAGAATCCGGAGACCCCAAGTGGTTCCGCCCCACTTGTTTGTAACGCCAAAGACCCAGAGGGCTTTGTAAGCCTTTCCATTGAGTCCATTTGAGCAGCGATCAAAAATGCTCAAAGCAATTTAAGTAAGGGAGCGCTGAAATCAATCCGCGCGGAAGGTTTTGCGCAGGCCGCGGAAGCTTGCGGAAGGGCCGGCGGAAGTTGACTCTGAAATTTGCACAGCGGAAGGGCGCGGAAGGGGAACATTGTTGGAGCGTCAAAAGCCCTTGCTTGGGCCCAACAATTTGTTTTCGCGCCCCCGGGCCAAAAATCAATTTCTTCGGGCAAACAAAATCGTTTCTGCACCCCGGCCACAAAACAAAACGACTTTCACTGGCCTGTTTTGGCCGTCACCCCGCAAGAAGCGGCGCCGAGGAATCCAGCCCCTTCATTTTACTCCGCCTCGGGGTAAGTCAGAGTGCTTTACCTTGTCACCACGTGGGCTTCTTCTGAAATGGCCGGTTGGGCCGACATTTACTTGTCAGTTGAATCGAAATGGTTTTTGCTCCCGAGCGTAAAACGATTTGTTCGGGCCAAACAAATCGGTTTTGGCCGAACAAATCGTTTTAGCTCCGGGCACTAAAATGGTTTGTTCGAGCCAAACAAAACGTTTTTGCCTAAAACGATTTGTTCGGGCCGAACAAATCGTTTTTGCTCCCGGGCACTAAAGCGATTTGTTCGGGCCGAACAAATCGTTTTAGCTCCCGGGCACTAAAACGATTTGCTCGGGCCGAACAAATCATTTTAGCTCCCGGGCACTAAAACGATTTGTTCGGGCCAAACAAATTGTTTTAGTGCCCGGGAGCAAAAACGATTTTATTTGCCCGAGCAAATCGTTTTAGTGCCCGGGAGCAAAAACGATTTGTTCGGCCCGAACAATCGTTTTTAGGGCCGAACAAATCGTTTTTAGGCCCGGGCCTAAAATGCGTGGAGATTGATGTGGGGCTCAATTCGCGGAACGCTGGAGGAAGGGCGCGGAAGGACGGCGGAAGGGTTCCGTGATTTGAATGCCTTGTGTGTGATGTGTTGTTCTCGCTAGCCGCGGTGTGTCGTGAGGCTTCACGTTTGCGGTTGCAAATCTATTAGGATTCGCGTCCTTGTGGCAGTTGTGCCATTCAAGCCCTTTGCCATGCCATGCTCGCTTGACTGTGGTGCTGGCCTTTTTGACGCGCCCGCAGATTTTCACCACGAAGGTTTACGCCATCAGGCTACAGTCGGGCCCTTTTTGGGTGGTGGTCAGAAAGCACCTCCCAGGATACGAGGCAACAGTTGGAGGTTCAAGCCCCGTCAAGCTGCAGCCTCTCAGGGACAGCAAAAACAATTTGCCAGGCCCGCGTGAATCAATATTGCTGCAGTGATCCTGTTGGCAACGCTTTTCACGAAAGCAACGGGTGGTGGATGACAAACTCAATATCTAGTTGTGTTGGCTTGGCAAGAAAGAGACGCAAGCCGCGGAAGGCGCGGAAGGGAAATGAGAGCGCGGAAGCAAACACCCGCAGCGCGGAAGCACGCGGAAGCGCCAAATGATATCATCGCAATTTGGCTTATTGATTTTGATCACCGCTCATTTGTTTTTATGGCTACAGCTTTCACTAGGATCCACTAAGCTTACTCGGGCAATATTGAAATCAGATATGGGCTCAAGCGTTGGGAAGGTTGGGTCCTTCTTGGGCTGCCTTTCCTTTCACAACAAGAATCAAACCGGGGAAGTCCCCTTTCCCATCGGAAAAGGGGCAGGTTATTCTGTGGGTTAGGCAGGCAAACACGATAGTCCAATCACACATCTTGCAGTTTTGCGGCAAGCGCACGAGTCCTTGATTATCACGACAGTCAAGCCGGAGGTGTGCTTCCTGGCAAAATTGGTTTCTTTATGATGTGGTTTTTCCCATCGGCAGAAGTATCAGTTTACTTCCTGTGAGTTTGGGAAGCTAATCGGCCTGGTTCAATGGAACAGGTGCCAGCCGTGGAATACGGTGACCAATGAGTCCTGCAGGAACTGGTGGACATCCTGAAAAACGAGACCGCCGACGGTATCTTGGATGAAAAGGCGAGGGTTCGGGTACTCCTTGCTGCTTTTAAAGGGCAACTTCCATTTATGCTTGAGAATGTTTGTTTATTTTCCCTTGCTGGTTTAAAGGGAATCTATCACTACTGGTTTTTTGCCTTCTCCGGGGGGCGAAAGCGACAATGGAAGACAATGTTAGGGCACGCCGATGCCGTGCCCTTGGTCTTGCCCTGGATTCGGCGGGTCAGCGAAACCGTCGGCAGGGTGGGGCTCCGAACCTTCAGGTTGACTGGGGTACTTTGGCGTCCCTGGGAAGGAACCAACTTGCTCCTGTGGGAGCCACACAGCTGACCTGTTGACACTGCTCACATGTGCCATGTGTTGGGGTTTGGTTGTTTGTTTGTGTGTGTGCCTGCATGTGTAAAAAAAATCGAACTCTCAAGGTTGTTTTCATATTGATTTTCATTTTCCTTCCCTCTTGCAAGCCACCCCGAGAAGAAGTGCCCTGAAAAAATATACACACACACACAGATCCATTTCTCCCACTGTATCAGCGAACCTGCCCGTCATACTTTTGGCATGGGAAAGGGCTACAGAAGTCTTCTCTCACTCCCTGAGCTCCTGAACTTTGGTCAATTAATCCGATCCCCCGGGTTTCTTGTAAATTATAACAGGGCTCCTTAACATATCTCCATTTTGCAACCATTTGAAACATGTGGCTTTTTCAACACCAAAATGCAGGGAAACCACCATTTACAAGGCAATGTTCAGGTGTATAATGTAAGGATCCCTGCATAAGGTCTTATTTTGGGCAAGACGGAGGGGAGGGGTTTTCTCTCGCACTGAGTTCCTGAGCTTCTTGCTTTTTGCGAAGACCAGCTTGGTAACAACGAGTTGGACTTGTCCTGGCCCCACTCAGGAAGTAGGAGCCGCGATCCCACAACTCGCCGCGAAGCATGCGGCTCGAATCGAAGTTGCAACAGACTCGCCATGCATCCGATGAAATTGACAGTGAGCAGATGTTTATCCAATCAAGTTTGCCGGCCCCGCATAACGAAATCATACGCTTAAACAGCAGGCGTTCGGATCCAGACAAAATGTGAGCCCGGCAGCTCGCAAAAGAACTTGTCCGTTGTGATCGCTTGAGCATGAAGCAAGGACCGGAGCTTCTTTAGGTTGGCCCCTTCCGAGATCTTAAGTCTTAAGACGTTTCTTTTTCGGGTTGTTTTGCCTGCCCCGTTCCCCATCGCTCGCCCTGCCCCCCCCCCCCACTGCTTGGGCCTCTCTCCCCGCGTTTTTGGCGCGCGTTCGCCTTCGCCATGCGCTTCCTGGGGGCGCCCATCGACCGCGCGGCGGCGCTGCTGCGGCGGAGCAAAAGCGCAGAGCTGCAGAACGAGGCCAGCGCCAAGTTCCTGGCGGCGCCTCGGCCGGGGTCGCGGGGAGGTCGCCTCGGTCCGGCGTTCGGCTTCCATTTGCTTAAGCGCATTTGTTATTTTCCCCTGCTGGTTTTGAAGGGAATCTATCACTACTGGAAACATTTTTTGTTTTTTTCCCGTGGACTTCAGCAAATGGAAGTCGGCGTTCGGCGTTCGGCCTTCGGCCGGGGGGGGGATCGGGTGCTTAAGGGGAGCGGTCTCAAAGTGGGATCCGAGCCAGGACATGGGATGCGAATGTGTCGGGGGGTTCTGCGTGAACAGTGCTCCTTCAAGGCTGGTTCACCTGGTTACCAGGGAATGGCATCACTGGGAAAACGGCCCGTTTTTTCGGGGCAGTGGATTTCCATCTCGAAAGGCGCATGAGTTTGTGTCAAAGCAGGGTGACACCCATGCAAGACCCGTTGTTCAGATCGGGTTGCCGGACAGAGCATGGGATTCCCTCAAGTGGCAGCTGATTGCGCTCGCTCTTTTGACTCTTTGTGGTTTCACGGAGCCCACAAGAGCCAATTTCCGACTGAAGATTAAGTAGGGGTCCGACATCAAGTACCCCAAAACAGGTTCCTGTTTTGTTTTTGTTTTTCCGATGGAAGAAGTCGACTGGAGGTCTGGTTTGTGGCCTAGGAAGCACGTAGGAACATCTCCAGAAGGTTATCCAACAGAAACACCGGGGATTTGGTGAAGTTCCTGGACTACTTCCTGGAACTTGTCTCGTCCATTTCCACTCCGCAACAAGACCAACACCATATAGAACCTCGTTGAAAACCAAGGCCACGACCACAAACCCCCACTACCCGACCGCGAAAAACCTCAAACATCCTTTGGAGACCCACGCATTTCTTGTTTTGGGGGCTGCTTGAAAGGGAACCCAAAGGGAAAGAGCCGAAGCCACCCATTTCGAGGGCTGCCCCCCCCACAAAAAACCAAGACACGGCGGCCGGGGCACCAAGTCTTCGAGACATCGGGCGGTGAGGTTCACTCTCGGAAGCTCTTGGCAAAGGGCAACCACCTACGGTTCCTGACGCTCGGCGTCAACAAAAAAACGGTCGTGGCGCGTTCTCAGGGACGCACCAGGGGTGTTGGGAATCTTGGTGGTTCACACCCATCCCCTTGCATAGGATTTTAGGTTTTTAGGGTTTAGTGGTAGTGGGTTGGACTTTCAGCAGGGGATCTGAGGACAGCCCGGGATGAATGCCCAGGGGTTTGAGAAAGTTTGCCGGATCCCTCAAAGGAAGCTACCAGTTGGATGGTTCTGTCCGGGGTCATTCCAACTCATTCCCTTCTGTCAACCGGGGGTGACATCATACCCTGAACAAAGAGTTTGGAGGAACCCCTTCGTGAGGCCTAGGGTATTAGGTTGACTTAACCTAAAGAACCTAAACAATGGGTATTGGGTGCAGGAGAACCCTGAATTGGTTTTTGGTGGTTGGTGGTTTGGCAAGGGACGTTTTCCACAGAATGTTCTCCTTTTGGCAAATAGAGTGCACATGTTGATTTGCAGGGGAGCAACCAGATTCACGAACAGGCGGTTGTTTTAACAAATGTGGAATCGGGTTTTAATGGGTGTTGGCCCAACTCTGCAGTTCAAACTTTTGACAAGGACCCCCCCCCCCAACCCGTTCAGAAAGTTTTTGTTAATCCTTTTAAGAGTTCGTCGCAAGAAGGTTCTAGGAGTGTCTCCTGAGAGGGTCTTGGGTATTTTCCTGCCTGCATTTACAAGATCCCAGCCCTCGCCCCTGCTCCAAATAGGACCGCACGGCCATGAAAGAGAACATATGGAGTGCAAGGGGATTCTGGGCTTTTTGCATTGAACACCGTTGAATGTCAACCCCTTAAAATTGAACCCACTGGCTGCTCGTGTGGGCTGATTTTTTGGGGCGTGTTCCTGTGCGAGAATCCTTCGCTTGGGTGACACCCAGGATTATTGCGGGATTCCCAGTGACTTGGCTCTTTCCCGAAGCGCTTGCAAAAGACATGGCTTAACCATGAGGGTTTCTCAACATCGATCTCGAACCCGTTTTGGTTGGCCTGGAGAACTTTTACTCCAATAGATTGAGAAACCTGCATGTGACCAGATTGTCAAAGGCAGCCTTCGACACTCTTGACGCTCACCAAATTCGCCTAGGACGCATCAGCAAGTCCTGGAGCTCTCCACAGAGGCGCAGCGTTCGGCGAGCCAGCGCCGCCGCTAGGGCTGCGTTGCTTGTTTGGGGGCTGCCGTCCGGCAACCTGTTCGGAGTGGAGCGGAGCTTTGGGTCCAGTTTTGGGGGAATCCCCTTGTGGTACGTTTGGAGTGAGTGGCTCAACGGAAGTGCCAAGGCACGTTGCCCATGGGTGGAAGTCAATTTGCCATTTGGGCTCCTGATTTTGCGACCTCAAAGGTTTGGTCTTGGGGTCTGTTAGGAAACAAGATGAAGGGACACTGAACAGCCTGTCCAGCGTTGTTCTCCAGAACAAGTATCAGGCGAGTGTTTCCTTAAGAATTGGAAGTCCCCCGCTTTGGGGTCTTGTTTGCATTGAAGGACCTCAACAAGAATCCGAGTTTAGACCTGTTTTTGGGGGCGGGGCGAACGGCGGTCTCAGTCCTGCCAGCTTCCCACCGATGCGTTCTGACCTCGGCAAGCCAACATCCATACCCCAGCAAGAGTGCCACCGGAAAACCAATATCATAATTACTCACTCCCTGAGTTGATGAACTTTAAACTTTTTGGAAAGACCAGTTTAGTGGTAAATAACAAGTTCAGCCAGCTAACTTGGGAAGTGAGAATATGTGCCATGGTCGAAAGGCGCATGTATAGGTCATCAACCCCTAAAAGGGGATTCAGCAAACTCCATCTTGCTGTTCAACCCTTTTGCGACCCTGAATTTATTCAAAGCCCTGTGAACCCACAAGCACTGCAGATAGGCAATCAAGCAATCAACGAGCTCAAACAACCACACGAGAGAAAACCCAAACCCAAGACTCAGGGCACCTGCTAGACGGTCTCTAGTCAAAGGGCTCTGGTCGCTGGCGGCAAAGGAGAATTTGTGTGGCATGTGTGACCGAATCCTTCAACGAGTGACCCACAAAACGGAACATGTGGAGGGTCCAAAGCCATTTGAGTGCGGCTCAAGATTAAACAGCTGGGGTTTGCGCAGGTTTCAGTCTTTGTTTCATATACCATGTGTCATTGGTACCAGTGTTTGAGCCCGAGTCATATCTTGACTACCTAGAGTCTCCATGACCCTTAAAAAATGGGTCCATGACAGAGTATGACCCCCTTAATTTTGGGTAATTCCCAATTTTTTCAGGGTCATGGAGACTCTAGGTAGTCAATAAACTTTTGGGGCTTCTCAATTCTCAGTTGTTCAGTGACCCTGCGAAAAAAAGGAGCCTTTTTTGGGGAAGACCATTTTTAGTGGGCAGACAGCAAAAAAAGGGGAAAAAGGGTCCATTGGTCCAACATCGCGTGCTTTTCGCCGGACGATTCGCTAGGCGGACGTGGTGTACCTGGGCCCGGCCAGCGAGCAGCTGCCGAGTTTGAAGGGCGCGGAGGTCTTCGTAGTGGACCTTGGGGCCGCCAATGTGCTGGAGGAGAAGGCAGGGTTTTCG